GGAGGGGAGGGGAGGAGCGGGGCAGGGCTCACCATGGGCTGCTGCACCTCCACCTTGATGATGTCCTCGTAGATGTCGTCCCCTCCATCCTCACACGGGACGCAGTCGTAGATGTCCTCCCCCAGGTCATGCTCACTGTACAGGAGGAGGCAGGTTAGAGGGGAGGGGAGGCTCCCACCACCCTGACCGGGGAGCCGCAGAGCACGAGGGTCCATGAGGGACGCAGGCAGCTGGGGCCACAGTGAGGTCACCTGCCCAGGGCCTCAGTCTACAAAGTGGGGTGGGCCCCACCTGCAGGGCTTCTGTGGGCGTGAACCGGGCAGCGCAGGGAGCATCCCCCAGGGCTCTGCCTGCTGCCTCCACAACGTGCATTTCAGAGGGATCTGCCAGGACAAAGCCCCCACTTCTCCAGCCCTTTGGTAAATGCTGGGGACACAGGCCAGAGGTCCAGGGGCGGGACCCCTGCCCTCACCAGAATCTTCCCAACCCTACCTGACGGGAGCACCCGGCTCCTGCCTCCAGACCAGAAGCCTCTCTCCCCCAGCCCTAGGCTGTGACCTGCAGCCCGAGCGCTTCCAGCGCAGCCCTGGCTCTGCCAGTCCTTGGAGCCAAGGTGCGAAGGTTCCAGGTACACGGAGGGTGACCCGGAGTTTGTCATTTGCCTTCTGAAACCAGAGCCAAAGAAATTCCCACCGAAGTCTAATACGATAAAGCTTTGTTTTAGCTCACGGTCCTACTCCAACAAGTCACCCGTCTGCCTGCAGGGCTCAGTTCACGGGCTGCCTCCTCCAAGACACCCACCAGGATCGCCACTTGGCCTGTGATCTGGACTCTTGCGGGCGCCCGTGTACTAGATGCAGCTCCTTGGCTACATTTCCGGTGACTCTGTGAGTGGCAGCAGATGAGCCTGGCCCCTCCCCACACTGGGCTTCCTCAGCCCTCCTGACGCTCCACGCCTGACCTGCTGGGGCTCGGCAAGTCTCTCATTGAATCAGCACCCGAGCCAATCCAACCACCCCGTTCGCACAGGCCCCGCTGGGGGCTCACTGCACCTGGGGGCGGAGGGGCAGGAGCTATCCCAGGCCCAGACCGGTGGTGTATTCAGCCCTGCAAGCCCTCACCCCTGCACAAGGACGCATCTCACAGCCTGGGCTCAAAGTGGGCGGCAAAGTTCACTGCGGGAAGGACGGAAATAAATGCAGAGCACCCCCTTCCACTGCCACCATGACCGGCATGCAGGGAGGCGAGGCAGGGACGGAAGCCGGGGCAGGAACCATCCCTGCGGCACTCAGGAACAGGCTCCCCAGCCACGCCGTATGCCATGGCCTCATCCCGAACCTGGTCTTTGAATATCAGCTGTCGCCTTTTAAGGCTTGGGTTGGGGAGGACCATTCAAGGTCTGCTTGAGAGAGGGAGGGCACGTGTGCATTCGAGGAAGGCCCTCAGCACCTTCCCTGGAGGACACGCTGCAATGCACCTGCCACACGGCGTCCGTCTGTGGGCGAAGCACCTGTGCCTCTCTAGAGGGGAAACTGGGGGCGAGCCCAGCTCCTGCCTTGTGGAGCCTCCCGCAGGCAGGCGGGCAAAGGAGGCGGAGGAAGCTGTCACTCCGGGTCCTTCATTTTCTGCACCACTACAGGTGTGAGTGAGGCGGCTGAAAGCCGGCCAGAGGAGCAGAGCTGGCACAGGGCAGACGGCCCTGGGACAGACCGGGCTGATGGAACCCTCCAACCAGCATTCAAAGAGCCACGTACCCATGGGCAAGCCGCTCTGTGTGCCAGCACCTGTAGAAAAACAGTTATTCTTTTGGGCCTCACAGAATTCTTGAAGGTGGACAGCACTGTGGCCATTGTGCAAATTAAAACAAACACACTGAGGTTAAACGGTCAGCAAGGGGCAGGGCTGTGGCACTCGCTCACTGTCCTCTCCTCTCCCTGCCCGCCCTCCACCGTGAGAGGTCCGTCTGGGTGTTGCTCGGCCGTGCGGGAGAACTGAAGCCAGGGTGAAGGCAGCCGTCAGACGGGCTGGGCCCGCAATCTGGTGACAGACGCTGTCCTGGGAACAGACATGAAGGCGGGAAGGGTGCTTGTGAGCTCACAGGTTTTCTTACTAACCCATCTCAAAGGTCCGTTCCCAGCCAGGTCCAGCACCTGCCTTAGAAACTGTCACCTGTGATGACACAAATCACCTCCCCTCCTTTCCAGATGCTGTCCCCAAGGAAACAGCCCCCACTGCTCTGCCTGCCAGGCTACCAGGGACGCAGGCAAAAGTGACGGCAGGGGTTGTTCTCAGCGGCTGCCAGCCACCCCACGTTCCTGTCACACGGCAGAGTGAGGCTGGCGGCAAAGCCTCTGTCGAGAACTCTTGACAGTTGGAGGCGAGGCGAGACGGGGAAGCTTCCAGGCTGCTGAACGAGACAACTCAAGGGCAGATGAGGCCACTCAGACTGTCTAGAGACAGACGTCGGCTTTTCTCCAACAAGCCAGGTGGAAGGAGGGGGGTTGGCTGTGAAATGCTGCAAGAGCTGATGACATGGATCAAAAAAGGCTGCAAGCTGGACCTGGACAGGGGCCTGGAGGACATCCCGTGCAGGGATGGCAAATGGTCACACGGTGGGGCGTCCCAACACAGCCCAGGGCTCCCCCCAACCACTCAGGAGCCTGTTCATAAAGGACCCTGTGCCACCTCCATCACGGGTCGACCAGAACCGGCTGCTGACGACATGCAACGTGTTTCCTCTCCTGCAGGAGCCCCAAGCTTGTCATGGTGCAGACGGGAAACCCAGCCCAGGCTGCTGCAGGTCTCTCGGATGTCATGGACACACATCCTTCGCTCGTGGCTCCCACCGCACTGGCCTAGCACTGCCATTTACTGAGTTCTCGATGACGTGCCTGGCTCTGACAAGGCCTGAGTGTATTCCGGGAAATACAGGATACAATCCACGATCCCGGGATGCAGGAGGCATGAGCTCCATCCCGAGCCCAAACATATTAAGGAGGGAGAGGACAGGGAAGGCTGGGATGGTCAGAATCTTCCTGAACAGATGAGACTCGAAACATGCTGCTTTGAAGCCCGGGTGGACCTAGAAAAGGGGTGTGAAAGGCAGAGTCCCCCACCCACCTCCCTCTTCCCTGGCCCAGTCAGAACTGTCAGGCTGGGATCTAGGTACCAGTCCACATCTATGTAGCACCTGCTGCATCTCAAGCTTGGTACGAAATGGCAAGCATAGGGTTTTCACAATATTTTTGCTAAGCTTTTTAAGGATCAAAATACACCCTTAGTGGTAACTTTCTGACAAGTGGATACACCTGGGTCACTCATGCCCTTCCACATCAGAGAGCACTTTCTTTTCATTTTATTTTTTTTTTTTTTGACATGGAGTCTGGCTCTGTCGCCCAGGCTGGAGTGCAGTGGCCAGATCTCAGCTCACTACAAGCTCCGCCTCCCGGGTTCACGCCATTCTCCTGCCTCAGCCTCCCGAGTAGCTGGGACTACAGGTGCCCACCACATCGCCCGGCTAGTTTTTGTATTTTTTTAGTAGAGACGGGGTTTCACCGTGTTAGCCAGGATGGTCTCGATCTCCTGACCTCGTGATCCTCCCATCTCGGCCTCCCAAAGTGTTGGGATTACAGGCTTGAGCCACTGCGCCCGGCCAGAGAGCACTTTCATCTCACCGGAGCTCCTGCCCTTGCCCATCAATCTCTTTCCTGCCCCCAGCAACCATCCTTCTGACTGTTCTTCACCACAGACGAGCCTTGTCTGCAGTAGAATGTCAATGGCGTCGTGCATTAGTTTTCGTGCCTGGCTTCTTTCCCTCAACATCGGGTCTTTGAGACATCCATTCCGACTTGCCCACATCTGCAGCTCATTCCTGTTTACTGCCGAGTAATAATCCACGGCATGAATAACAACAGGTTACCCATTCTCCTTCTTGACGGACATTTGGGTTGCCTCCAAGTTTTTGGTTATTGTGAATAAAATTGGTTATATGAGCATTCAAGGGGTGTGTGTGTGTGTGTGTACGCCTGTGCACGCATGTGTGGTGGGTGGGGGGGTTACACAGGCTTTCTTTTCCTTTGGAAACTAAATTCCACTAGGAGTGGAACTGCTGGTCAACGAGAAGGTCTAGACTGAACTTCATAAGCAGCTGACAAATGTTTTTCTAAAGTGGGTGCATTCCACACCCCCAGCCAGCAGCACTCACCAGCCCCAGCTGCTCCATATCCTGGTCAGCTTCTGCTGTTGCCAGTCTTTTTCCATCCAGCCCCCAGAGTGCCTGTGCAGTGAAACAGAACTGTGGTTCTATTTGGCACTTTCCTGATGGCTAACACTGCCGAAGGATCTCCTATGTCCTTACTGTCTACCTTCCTTTGTGAAGCGTCTGTTCAAGACTTCTGTCCATTTCTAAAATTTGGTTGTCTGTCTTCTTACTGAATTCAGTGAGTTCTTTACATATTCTGGATACAGATATGTTTTGTGATTCTTCCCCCAGTCTCTAGCTCGGCTTTTCATTTTCTTAATGATATTCAAGCATTCACCTTTAATTTAATAAAACCTAATTTATCACATCTTTCTTCAGTCACATCCTGGCTCTGTCCTGTGTCCGAAGAAATCCTCGCATCTTGTCTAAGAAATCTTTGCTGTCTTTCAATCACGGTATATTTTCTTACAGGAGCTGCATAGTTTTAGCCATTATGTTTAGGTCTCTGATTTATCTCCAGTTAATTTTTGTGCGTGCTTCACTTTTTCCCATAGGAATAACCACATGTTCCAGAACAATTTCTCAAAACTTCTCTTTTTTGAGCAGGGCATGGTGGCTCATGCCTGTTCTCCCAGCTACTAAGGAGGCTGAGGAAGGAGGATTGCTTGAGTCCAGGAGTTTGAGGCTGCAGTAAGTTATGATCGTGCCACTGCACTCCAACCTGGGCAACAGAGTGAGACCCTGACTCTCAGAAAACAAACAAACAGGCCGGGCGCGGTGGCTCAAGCCTGTAATCCCAGCACTTTGGGAGGCTGAAACAGGCGGATCATGAGGTCAGGAGATCGAGACCATCCTGGCTAACATGGTGAAACCCC